CAGAGGAGGGACAGTGGTTTGGACATGTCCAGAGGAGGGACAGTGGTTTGGACATGTTCAGAGGAGGGACAGTGGTTTGGACATGTCCAGAGGAGGGACAGTAGTTTGGACATGTCCAGAGGAGGGACAGTGTGTTTATTGGTAGAAGGATGTTAGAAATGCAGCTGCAGGAAAAAGACAAAGAGGAGACATATGGATGCAGTTAGAGAGGACATGGAGGTAGTTGGAGTGAGGACAGAGGACACAGAGGACAGAGTGAGGACAGAGGATCAGATCAGAGAAGGAAACTAACATCAGTCGGTCTGTGAATGTGTGATCGCTGTGAAAAAGTGAATCTACACTACATGATGGATCAGGTCTGTCAGAGGTCAAAGGTGAAACACGGTTCAGCCCAGTTTGTTCCTTGTTGAGCAGACTGACTGATCTATAAGGAGTGGAACTGTCACAAGAACCATGACGTCAGTCAAGAAGAAGCAGATCCTCATTACTCATGACGGAGAACCCTCGTGGCACACGCAGCTTTTGTAGGTTTAGGGCTCAGTCAGACCCAAACGTTCCGTTTGGCTCTGACTGAGCCCTAAACCTGCGCTCAGTGTGTCGTCGCACCTAAAACCTGAACAGGTAAAAGTCTGAGCCTCGACCCGAGCGTTGGAGCCGTCAGCCAGGTGCTCTGCTGTGATGCTTCCGTCCGCTCAACGGACACTTCCTGACTGGTGGCGTCGGTGTGTGCGTGGTGACGCACGGCTCGTTGAAAGCTGTCCAGGCTGCCGGTGATGTCCCTCAGTGTGCGCTGAGGATGACTCTCAGCTACAACCACTTCAGCTCTTCGCTCAGTCGCTGAGAAACCCTCTCAGCTTCGACCCTTTAGAGTTCTGCTACTAGCTGCAGCGGCCATCTTGACTTGATCTGTCAGAAGTTAATCAGTTGCAGTTGATCACCCAATCGTTAGTTTTTATAAAGTTTCATTTAAAGCTGCCCAGTGTTTGTGAGATATTTTACTAACAAACACTGACTTCGGAGAGTTAACACCAACTTTTTAAGCCAGTGTCTTGTAATCTGTTAAAACCCAGATTATGTGCAGGAGGACCACTCGCACTCTACTCACATCTGAATCCAAGTTTTACAGATTCTTCAACTCTTGGAGGAAACGTGAACGAAAAGGTGACGTGCACCCAAACCTTCAAATAAAACCCAGTCTGAGCAGAAGACGCCGTACAAACTGAGGTTGTACCTCACAGAGCAGATCCAGCGGTGGTCGGTTCTAATCCACACCAACGTGGTCGACACATTTAAACCTTCTCTTTTTTTTTACAGTAAATTTGTAGATTTTATAAAAGTGATGTGAATGTAAAGAAGTCACGTCAAACTTTGTGAGTGCAGCACATTTGATGCACAGCTCAGAGGAGCTAACACAATTAGGTACTCATCAGAAACACATAAAGTACACGTGCACAAAAACAACAGGTTAAATCAGGTCATGAGGACAGTTTCTTTTTGGGAGAATCATTTTGTCTTTCATCTGAAAGACTTCATCAGTCTGAGGCCTGCCAACTCAGATCATCTGATAAATAGAATCAGAATAAACTTTATTATCATTGAACAGAGATACAGTGATTTTATGTTCGTAGAGTCGTCCAAACGATGGACGGAGTGCACGTTGCTGCTGCTACTGGAGCGCGGCCCCTTATCCTGTTTCAGAATACTTTTAGATAGAAAAGGTAAAAGGCCATGAGGATAGTGGTATTACAAAAAAAGATCTCTTCACATCTTGTCCTATCAGGACACAATTTAATGCATCAGAAACTCTGCCAGCAGCACATTGATAGACACAGTACATGTGTTTGACAGCAAGGCGGTGAGATTTGTCCATGAAGCACTTCCAGATAATCCATAGTCCTGATAAGATGTTGGTGTCAGCCGGTACAGCTCTGATAAGCCTTCACAGAAGTTCTCGGGGGTGGGGGGGGTTGCGATAGACAAAGCTTTTCCTTATTTACACATATCCCAGGAGAAATTTGATAAGTTGGCCTGCTGTCGAGGCCAACCGGGGGAGTCAGATTCAAATAAGCCACAATTGTTGATTCTTTCAGGCAGACTGTTTTTTCCTTGTAGCATTGAGTCCTGCTGGAACTTTTGATCCCAAATGACCAGATTTGTGGGCATTCCACTAGTCCGTGCTTATGAGCCTCCTCCAAGGTTGTCTTGCTGGCGAGTCCCAGAAGCCGCAGGTGGTCTGCAATTCAAATCGCTTCCATCTTACGGTTTAGCTCATAAATCAGCTGATTTTGATTACTCAAAGCACGAACCAGACCTTCACACAGACTCAGCAGTTTTGCTATCGCCGAAACTGCTGCCGATGTCTTCCTTAATAGCCGATAACATCGAAGTCCACCGATGCCAGAAAGCAGAAACCCTGCTATCATGAGTCCAATGATATAAACATCTTCAGCGTCCTCTTGAGACAAAACAGAAAGACACATCAGCTCCCAAACTCCCCATGGACCCATGACGTATCCTGCAGCGTGCGTCTCAGCGGGTCATGAGGGCTCTCCAGGACCCTGTCGCTTGTTGAAAAGATTTTGTTGATTGCGTTTAAAGTCCAGCTGACCAGATCCATGACAGTAGTTTTCTTTTCAGAAGATGTGTAATAGGAGCTCCGATACACAGACAGAGCAAAAAAATGCAGGCAGAGGACAGGAGAGGGAGAGAAAAGGCATCCGCCTTGCACGAGAGCGAGTGCAGAAAAAATAATAGAACCTTCTTGACGTGTTTCAAACCAGCCTGCTGTGGAATTCACAGAAACTAGATTTACACGTGCAAAAACAAAACATTCATCGTCACGACAATCAAATGTTTTAGGCCTGATGGCCGACAGCTCACCAGCCTGAGGACACCTGGCCAAAGAGTTTCAGAATAAAGGTTTGTCAGCTCAGTCATCCAGGTAGATAAAAACTTAAGAGGTTTGTAAGCCTGTGTTAAAGTCAGTTTCTGTGAATTCCACAGAGAGCTGGTTTAAAACATGTCAAGGAGCTGCTATTTATACGACAGGTCTGGTTGGCAGGCCTCAGACTGATGACGTCTTTCAGATGAAAGACGAAACGTTTCTCCCAAAAAGAAACTGTCCACATGACACGATTGAACGTTTTTGGTGTTTATCTACCTGGTTGATTGATCTTACAAAGGATTTTTAATTTTTTTTAACAAGAGTTTATATTATAAACACAATCAAACAGACATGTGTACAATAACAAGCATTAAATTAAACAGTGAAAACTTCATCACCTGTTTGTAATTTAACAGTTTTTATTAAAATAAGAACATCTGTGGTTTCTGTCAGAACCAGAGTCGGAACGTTAGATGGAGCTCAGGTCTCTCTTGTAAATGAGTCCCTGAGGCTCAGTGGGACTAACGTGTATAAATACAGGTTGAATGAAGAAAACACAAACAGAAAGCAGCTTCCATCATCTTTGGTCCGAAAATCTAAAGAAATAAAAACTCTAGAGGGAGCTGTTAAAACCTCTACAGCTCAGACTGAACAGAAACTTCATGGACAGAAAAACTTGAAGCAGTTTATTCTGTATATTTCTGGGAGGTGAACTTCTTCTCCATGTAGGACCAAGATAATGGATGGATGGATGGACCACCGTATTTCTACATTTATAATTCTCTAACTAAACTGGTGCTGTTTCAAAGATGATGCTCTGACAAGAGAAGTGTCTGCACCTCGTGGACAAACCAGAGCAGACATCACTGAAGGAAGCTCCAGCTGAGCCATCTGTGTGACGTTCCTACCCACCTTCATCCTTACTGACCTTCACCCTTATTGAGCTTCACCCTTACTGACCTTCACCCTTATTGAGCTTCACCCTTACTGACCTTCACCCTTATTGACCTTCACCCTTACTGACCTTCTTCTTTACTGACTTTCACCCTTACTGACCTTCATCCTTACTGACCTTCACCCTTACTGACCTTCACCCTTACTGACCTTCTTCTTTACTGACCTTCATCCTTATTGACTTTCATCCTTACTGACCTTCACCCTTACT